TCTCTCTCTCTCTCTCTCTCTCTCTCTCTCTCTCTCTTCGTCATCCTTCTCTCCTCCTCTTCTGCCTACTACTCCTATTTCGGCATCCCCTTCTCTCCTCTCTTACTTCTCGATCTTCTACGACGTAGAAACTATGCGAGACTCTCTCTCTCTCTCTCTCTCTCTCTATGTCTCTCTGTGCGTGTATGCGTGTATTTGTGTGTAGGAGGAGTGAGAGAGAAACGAGGGCGGCGGCAGCAGCTTCTCTGGAAGCCAACCGGATTAACGTATCTCGAATAATTCATGCGTACTTCGTTCTAAGGGACCCAAAGAGGCGGGAGGGAATGGATGGATATATGTGTATGTGAGAGAGAAAGAGAGAGAGAGAGAGAGAGAATACACTGGAACATAGTAGAATGCGTGTTAGGAAAGACCAATTTGCAAGATTCTAATCATAGTCGAGTTCGCGCGACGTTATCGTCTTTTTGATCACTCGCATTTGTGTACCGTATCTACTTTTATATATATATATATATATGTATGTATATATGTCTCCGATGTTTTTCTTCATTATGAGGAACAAAAAAACAAAACAAAAGTTGCCTCCTTTAAACGGTTCGTAAAAAGATCATTAAATGTATACTTCGACATTTGATAATGTCAGATCTGCGAAAAGAGCTATGGCTTTTTTTTTTGCAAATATTGAAAAAATTATTGAACATTTTTCTCCATAAACAATTTCTTTTGTATTATCTCTCTCTTTTTTACTCTCTCTATTTCTTTCTTTCTCTAAAGAAATTAGACTGGATTTCATTACGAAATCCTCATTTTATCGAACGATTTAGAAGAGAAAGAGAAAAATAAAAAAAAAAAAAGAAAAAAAGGAGAAAAAGAAGAAAAAAGACTAAAAAAAAAAAAGGAAAAACAATCATTCTTTCCGCATCGTATCTTCGAGCCCTTAAAACATCGTGGCACCTTGAAAAGGAAACGGAAACTTTTTGGAACGTGTTAACGTAAACCGATTTTCAAGAAGAGCTCCCTAACGTAGATGCGACGCGATCGTTTCCATCTTCCCTTTTCTTTCTCTCTCTCTCTCTCTCTCTCTCTCCCTCTCTCTCTCTCTCTCTTTTTCTCTCTTTCTCTGTGTCTCTTTCCATCCATGTTCTTTCTCGAACACGCGACAACCCTCTTGAACTTTGTCGAGGAGGAGAAACTCAAGTAGAGAGACTTAAACGGTGTGTTTCTCTCTCTCTTTCTCTCTCTCTCTATATATATATATCTATCTATCTATCTATCTTTATCTATCTATCTGTCTTTCTATCCATCCGTCTGTCAATCTCTTCCTCTCTTGTTCATTTTCTCTCTCTCTCTCTCTCTCTCTCTCTCTCTCTCTCTCGTAACAGGGTGGAAGTCGATTTTCATCCATCTCGGAGGACTCTCTCCTCCGTACAGCTTCAAATAGGGTGAATCAAATTGGCGTCGCGTAGAAGAACCGAGAAGAACTGGATTCGATCTTACGCGTGGAAAACGCCCCGTATACTACGGCTTGTCGTGCGAATCAACCTTTTCGGCACTCTCTTCTTTCGATTTGAGAAGCTAGAGAGGGGACGTTTGAGAAAAATAAATATTGAAAGATAAAAAAAGTTCCGAAGGTTATAGTGCGAATTGTTTTTCTTTCTTTCTCTTTCTCTTTTTTTTTTTTTTTTGCTTCTTCTTTTAATACGTGGATAAATTTCCAATTATTTTTATTCGTGAAATAATGAGAATCATTTATTTTTATATTTTTCTTAAATCGATACATTATCTTGTATACGTAATTGGAATAAGATTTATATCGTATAATATATATGTATATAAATAATGTATTTATTCACAGTGACATGATGAAAATTAATTCTTTTTTTTTCTTTTTTTTTCATATGAATGAAAATATTACGAATCGACCACTTTTAAAGTTCACCATTATAATAAACATCGGAATGATAAGGGATGAATTTTTTATATGTCTTAAATCGATATATTATTCCGTAAATGTGATAAAAAGAAAAAGGAAATTTAAATTAGTTGATAAATATATAAATAATGTATTTATTCACAATGACACGATGAAAATTAATTTTTTCATTTTTTTTTTCTTTTTTTTTTCTTTTTTTTTTTACGAATGAAAATATTACGAATCGAGACTTTCGAAGTTCACCACTTTAATAAACATCGGGGTTGGAATAAGGGATGAATTTTTAATATGTCTTAAAACGATACATTATTCTGGAAAATGTAATTAAAAACTTTACATCAGATAACGAATATATAAATAATGTATGTATTCACAATGACATGATGAAAATCAATTTTTTTGTTTTCTTTTTTTTTTTACGAATGAAAATATTACGTATTGGTAGTTTCAAAATTCATTACTTTTTACGTGTTAAAAAAAACATCGAAAGAGGGGGGGTGGTGGGTATGGGAAATAAAGGACGAATTTTTAATATGTCATAAATCGACACATTGTCCTCCTTTAAATGTAATTAAATTAAATGCAATTCAAATATTATAACAATTTTGAAGTTATTTATGTTAAAAAGGTCCAATTAAAAAATTCATTTTCCATTTCTGATTGTAGCTGATAAAAGAAATAGAGATCAGATAGTGAACAAGCCGCGACGGTCCTTCGGGAATGCTAAGATATTCTAGAATGCTAGATATTCTAAAGGAGTTTTCTGGATTGGTAGAATTGTTGAGGAAGAAAAAAGAAAAAAGAAAAAGGAAAGAATAAAAAGGAAAAGGAAAATAAAACTGAAAAGTCAGTTTCCATGAGGAACAAGTCTCGTTTGCATTGTTCACAGGTTCGAGAATGCCATTCTTCCTTATGGAAACTAGTCTTTTAGCTACTAGTTTCCTTCACGGGATGAGGGCAAACTAAGAATGGAAATTCGTAGAGGAACGTCGACGTAATTTTCATTTCAATTAGATCAGAGCGATCTAATAACTCGTATTTCCATTTAATCGATTCATTTTATATAATATATGTCTGGCATGTCGTTATAAAAAAAGGAAAGAAGAAAAAAGAAAAAACAAACAAATAAATAAATAAATAAGTTAATTAATTAAATGATGATTAATAGAACATTGAAAATTGTATATATTCCTTTACGATTTCGCAGATTTCTATAAACAATTTAACGTTATTTTCATAGTTAAATATATTTTATTTAACTTTTCATAGTTAAGTATATTTTATTATTATCTAAAAGATAATTATTTTCTTCGAAATAAAATATCTACAATTGTTTCATAAGATATCTTCAAAATAAAATATCGAGTTAGATTCAATCGTCTCGTATTAGACAAGTTATCGAGTTCGAATTATCATAAGAGCGAACGATTGACATAAAATATTCATTAAAAACAAAAAAAAAAAAAGAAACAAACAAAAAAAAAAGAGAGAGAGAGAGAGAAACAGAAAGAAAAAATAAACAAAAAATCCTTGTGAAAGGAAGTTAGCCATTCGTTCTAATCGTAAAATATTCGTATAATAATAATATATTTGAGATTTCTAACTGATACGAATAAAACAGTAGGTCTGTTCTCTCTATTGGTCTCGTTAGTGCAAAGATAAAGCTGTTGAACTCGTTCGAATAACGCTCGCGGCATAGTCTCTCTCTCTCTCTCTATCTCTCTCTCTATCTCTCTCTCTCTCTTTCTTTTGTAGTATAGAAACGTCATCGTATTGAGAGTAGAGCACGGTACGAGCTTCTATGTCCGCACGGGAACGCGAACAGATCGATTACCGTATTGGCGGTAGGAGTGCGCGTAGAGCCACGTACCGCAACTACGTGACAAATATTATCACGATCGACCTATGCGTAGCGTTTGATGTGGACGGGTTTATGAAAGGCCAACGCGCCTATAATCATGCCTCCGCGAACGCCGAAGAACAAATCCGATTTGTGTCAGCTATGAATTCAGATCTTGTTCGATTCATTTTCATTTAATCTGACCAGATATTCCCTTTAAACTACAAATAATTGGGATAATAAACAATGTTGTTACAACTAACAGAAATCGGTCTATTAAAGCCATCAAGAATGTATCATCAGAGATATATTTAACAGATCGCAGTATCAAGGACGTATCGAAATAATTGACAAGTCATTAGAATAATGGAGGATCGATCAGATGACAGATTGATAATCAACCGAAAGCATCGTTAGTAGTCCGTATGGATAGATAATCAAGAAGTCTATGAAAAGAATCAGTTAAATCTATTAGATCTGTCGATATTCAGTCAAGACCATTATCATCTGTTTATTGGGTAAAAGAAAGATTGATGATTTATCGACATCAAAAATGTATTGGTAACATTGACAATCTATGTAATAGATCGACCATTGATGCGACCATGTACACTAGTAAAGAAAGTACAAGTATGACGAGAAGTGACAGAGAGAGAGAAAGAGAAAATGTAGTGCAGTGTGTTAGGTGCACGGTGTAGGTTAAACGAGATCGATAAGGTTTACTCTGTGCTCGTGCCGCGTGACACAGAAGGGTGAGGTTATATGAAAATAGAGGGTTCGAAGAGAGGACCTTTTATTTCCGTCCTTTTTCCTTTTTAACTTTAAGAAAGAATAAGGAGGAGGTTCTTGGACGCAAAACAGAAGGAGGAAAGGATATTCGTCTGAAGGCGTCTAATGTAGACATTGGAGGGTCGCGCACAGTTTAAGAGAGAAAGAGGAAGCGAGAGAGAGAGTGAGTGGCTGAAGGGGGTGGTGGTGGGTCGCCCGTTTCCACCCTCCATTTCCACCCCCGACAACTCGCAGGCGGTCGACGGGAGCTCTGTGGCACCCACTCACCCACCACCAGCAGAGCCAGCACCGCCGCCGCCGCCGCCCCCGGGCGTCCTCATGCCATGCCAACCAACGAGCCGGGGCCGCTTTCGCTTTGTGCGCACCGGGGCGGCGGTACATCAAAGCCTTCTAGTTCCCGCTCCGGCCTTTGACGGCTGCGTCGCGGCCGCTCGCTCAGTCATCGCTCGGTAGGCGAAGCCAGCACGCCGCGCGGATGAGCTCGACGCCGTTGTCCTCGCGAGTCCTCGTCGGCCGGGATCAACGAGATCTCGCTAACCAGCCACGGAACTCGATCGGGTTCAACAGTGTTCCTAACCTTGATCAAAGGAGTCACTATGACTCCTCGTTCTATCAACGACGACGAGTACTCTATATGTTAAGAGGAAAGAGGTAAAGGAATGTCGCCTCGCGGTAGCAAGTGCGCGCGTGTTAGCGGTAGCAAAGCTGCCGCCACATTGGAGAAGGATCGCCGAGGTTCGAGGGAGTCTAGAACCTTCGAGGGAAACGATAAGGAACATCTTGAGCAACGGGAGGAGGAGAATTACCAACAACAGGAGAATCACCAAAAGCAGCCAATCGTTAAAAAAGAGTCAGCCGAGGGAAAGAATAATAATAATAAAAAGAAGAAGACATCAACGATGACGATGAAAAGACGGAGGAAGAGGAAGAAGAGGAAGAGAAAACCAGGCCGAGCGAAGACGACGCCGGAGACAGACGCGGCGGCAACGGCGGCGGCGGCGACGACGACGGCGGCGGCGGCGGCGGCGGCGGCAGCGTCGGCGGTTGCGGTGTTGGCGGTGCGCGAGGGTCGATCATGGATCGGAGCGCGCATGCGTCAACCCCTGGAGAGTACCGAAGGTGGCCTCGAGCAGCCCCGTGAAAACGGCACCCTGCTAAAACGACGGTGCTCGCAAAGCCCGCATCGCGACCTCCTATCCGAAAGCAGAAACCTTTCTAGCTCGCCCTGTTCCTCGCGTTCCACCTCTACATGTACCTCCAGTTCCACTTCCTCCTCCTCCTCCTCCTCTTCCTCCTCCTCTCGCCCTTCCTCGAGGTCATCCTCGGTATCCAGTAGCGAGGGATCTTCTTTGATCGGTAGTCAACTGAAAACGTCGGAGAGCACACGGCTATTTTGCAGAGACCGGAAACGGAAAGAAAAGAGACGCCGCGGTAGCCGCGAGTGTGCACGAGAAGAGACTAAGAAGGAAGAAGGGAAGGAGGATATTGTAACAGGGAAGGTGGAGGTAGAGGAGGAGGAGGAGGAGGAGGAGGAAGAGGAGGAGGAGGAGGAGGAGGAGGAGGAGGACGGCGACGACGACGACGACGACGACGAGGAGGAAGAGGAGGAGGGACCACCAGTGGGGGAACTCCAGACTCGATCCGCGCCGCCGATAACGTCGACTCCGATTCCACCTCCCACACCCTCTACCTCTTCCAATACAACCCCAGCAGCTGCTCCATTACCCCCTCTCTCAC